CCAATATCTGAAGCCGCGGAAGGAAGCCGGATGACAACTAGCCCGGGGTGCTGGTAGGCAGTCACCACCCTGTAGACAATGTGGCCCTAGTCAGGTTAATTGGTTGGTTAGAACCACTATGTAAACCGCCCAGAGACCCTTCGGGGTCAGGGCGGTATATAAGCCGAAGGTATAAATAAATAAATAAAATAAAATCTCCTCTCAGCCTGAAACCCAAGGTTTATGGCTCTGCTCCCAGGAAACAGGGTGACCTGACGTATCTGGGGTCCAATGGCTCTGCCGTGTTAATCGAGGTATCCCGCATTCATCTGTCATAAGAAGGAGAGCCATGCTTGTTTATTTCTTCATTCACAAATTTTGTAGGCTACCATTTGGGCCAATGAAAGCCACTAAGGTGGCTAGCAGTTAATTTTTATTTTTATTTATTTATTTAACTTTTGGCTTGATATCCCGCTCTAATCCCTTGGTTAGGGGTCTCTGAGAGGCTTACAGGTTTCTGGTGCTAATCACCATTTTTCCCTAACTAGGGCCACAGAGTGTAAGGGGATGGGACAGCCTACCGGCACCCCCCTGTGGTGGTTGTTGGTTGTTTCTTCGTCAGCTCGGCTCGGTCGGGTCTCTGGACTTGGCGGGGATGTTTTTCTCCCAGCGTTCGGTAGTGGTGGCGATCTTCCTCCTAAGGCACGCAGCTCCGCCTGCTTCCAGCCTGGCAACGTCCCTTCCGGCTCCGCTGGTGCTCGGCATCTGCGCACGCCCCTTTCTTCTTTCACGGTAGCGTTCGATGTGTTTCTTCTGCCACCAGGGATCGCTCAATCGCATGCCTTCGATCGCGCCCGCTCGCCGCCGCCACGCCACCAATGCCGTCCACGCCAGGTTGCCGCCGCCATCTTCAGCCAGCCACACAGGGTGCCCCCCACCCCTCTAAGGGTGGGTACCCATTTATCTACTTGCAATTAGGTTGCTTTCGAAACCGCTGGGTAGGCGGGAGCTAGGACGAAGGTCGAGAGCTCACCTCGACCGCGGTGGTACTCGAACAGCCATAGTGGCTGCTCAGGTGATGTTACAGTGCAGGCGTTTAACCGCCTGATTTGCTTGATTCAGGGAGCTGTAGAATGTCAGACACGGGATCAGCTGCACTCTTCTCTCCCCTCCAGGAGAAGGGAGGGGGTGTGTGTGCGCTCCTGCGTACCACAAGAGGTAACCCTCTTAACG